AATTCATGAAAGTGAGTAGTTCAAGGTCAAATTAATCTATTACCTACTTGAAAATCAAATTTTGTAAAATTCGTTATCTTTTTGTGCCCAATACTGTTTCACAATATCTTTTGACTTTTCGATCAATGTAGAAACTGCGAAATGACACCCAGATGACAGCAGTCAAGAGTCACATGATTGAACATTTGTTTTTGCACGCATTGGATGATGAAAATTTTCGAGAAAAATACCTGAAATTTTCAAGGACTTGTGTATACTGATGTATGTAAGTAAAACCAACATTTTTCGCACAAAAATTTAAAGTGGATAACAGTGGACAAGATTTTCATGAAAAAGTATTTTTTAAGGGCCCAAAAAAACTCCAAGAGAGTTTCGAAGCTGGTGTTCTATCCAATTTTTTTAATTATCAAGACAATCTTTTGTCGGGTAAAACTGCGGAAGAAATAAAAAACGTTGCTGGCGAATTAAAGAACATCATCCAAAAAGTAGAGCTACAGCCAGATAATCTCAGATCATTTTTCAAGTAGAACAAAGTTTTACAACCGACATTGCATGCTTTAATTTCACTAGAATTTATAGACTTGGTTTTTATTTTGTATCATCCACATTAACAAAGATAATGCGAAAGATGTTTTAAATTTAATGCTATTTTTATCGATTTTAACTATTTATTATTCTCTATCTCTAAGATTAAAAATAAACAAGCAATAAATACTTAATCTTTGCAAAACGTTGGCGACCGAATTTTAATTATTTTCCGCACTTTCAGTCCTCGTAAAACCCGACCACTGCGGGTACATCCATATATATATATAGAGCGCGCTCGCCAGCTCGACGTGGGCGTGGCTTGCAGGCGCCATTTTACATCCAAAGGACGTATCACTCGATCGCTTTTCCCTCTTTATCGCTGAAACTGTGAAAGAGAAAGACGGCAAAATGGGCATGTCTTATTTTATTTCTAGATGTACACGTATACGTGTAGCGATCATTTAATCGCTGTCGTTTGATAAAATACATTTTTATTTTATTTTAGGAAGCGTCACTCGAGAGCTTCGAGACAAGTACACGTGTGTGAAGTACGAGTATACATACATACATTTTTATTTAGAATTACAGCAATTACGTAATAAGTCAATTTAGAAAATAAATGCAGATTTTCGTACAAATACAATTTGTTATCAGTCGTTTCGGTAAGAAGGTAAAAATCAATACGTAAGATAATACCATCGTACTTTATTGGCAAAATAATTTTCACTTTCTTGTATACAAATAATAAAATTGATAAATATGTTGGGATGTCTGTTATACGTCATAATTGCAACTGTTGAGTATAGAATATATTATGTAATGTGTTTTTATAATCATTAACAAATATATATATATATATACCTGACATGCTTCGATCATAATTTTCCTTGGAGGGGACCAAAATTTCTAAATCAGATTATCTACGGTTCATTACAATATATAATAAAGTAAAAAAAGGTAAAAATTGAGTGTTAAATTAATGCGAAGCCGGAGTGTAGTTGACGTACTTCACATACTCATATCGCAATAATCTTTATACTTGAGCCGTATTGCAGGTGCGCATCACTTACCTTAAATTGGATATTTTGATCATTATTTTCCATCATATTAAGAAGAGCCCATGTGTCTTGAATACGGGAAATGTTGATTATCGGCTCGCAAAACCTTACAGGTGAATTGATACCGTAGTTGCAATTAGTACCAAGCTTAGTTTGAAACTCAATTTTATCTTTTTGAGAAGAAAAATTTTTCAAAATTATATACGTTTTATTAGTTGCATGTTTATAAATCTCTTTGTACTATGTTAATCATCATCTTTTCAACTTGGTCAAAAAAAACATTGATTAGGTACTTGTCCGCAGTGATGCTTACAAACGTCCTATAAAATACTCGAACCACTTTCATATTTACTTATACGTTGTATTTGTCATCACAATTTTTTTTTTCTGATGAACGTATAAATTACTTACTCGAGCAGTTTTCTGTATAAGGATGTTATTTTCGTACAGTCTATACTTGTAGAGCAGTTTTGTTGCATCAAAATAGCGATGTCTTTTTTATTTGTATATGTACGATGACACACATTGGATGTTCTTTACTGCATAGCTATGTATTCGGTACAGGTTGTTCAGGGTGTTAAACTTTACCAGAACTTATACCAATGAGGTCCGTTACTCGAATGTGTCACTAACATGTGGTTCTTTAGAAATGGCACAATAGGTACGTTTTGGATTTTTTAAGGGGGACTCCATAGATAATTAGAATATACACTTGGACGTCAAGTAAGGAATTCAGTAATAAAGAAAACCTGGCTATTTATTTAATATTTTTATTTTTACTCTTTATTGCTATAATACAATTTGATTGTCGTGTAAAATNCTCTAAGCGCTAATGCCCTGGCTGAAAAGTTTAGGAGCCACTTTTGGCCAAAAAATAAAGACCGCTAGATGGCGCTGATCCAAATAATTATTACTACTTACAGTAGAGCCATGTAATCAATTATAAACCAGCCGCAACTAATCTTAAAGATAGAAAATAAGAAGATAATTTTGTCTGAGCTACTTGCGGCAAATGTACAATATATCTTTAACCCGAAAATTGACCTCCAAAAGTATAGATATTCTACTTAAATGGTTTAATACAATCGACCATATGTCACTACTTAGTAGTGAGTACTATAATTACCACACATAACATAACTTCACATACAATACTGCAACAATTGTGAAAAAAAGCACGCATTGTGTGCACACATAAGAAGAAAGAAATAAGCGAAACTCGAGTAACTCTCGAAGCTCAATTCTCAATTGTCTTGAGAGCAAGTGCGTACGTGACTACGTGCATTTCACGTGGTGGTTTTACCTGATTGTTTACCGTCTTTTTTTTTTTTTAATTTCTATTGAAGCAATTTTTAATAAGAACAATTGTTGTGACTGATATTTATCAGTGATAGTTGTTTTTTTTTTTTTTTACTTTTTTACAATCCAAAACGAACCCTATACTTTATATTATTGGAATTACAAGTGACGTGGGATAAGATGACAAAAGTCGAAGAATACGGGAAAAAATGTAAAAACGACAAAATTTTTCAAGAAGTTTGCGGGAAGATTCGTTTGAAGAAGCATGATGTCAATAGAAGTAACCAGATGTTGCGAAGCGTACGTATCAATTTTATTTGCTTGCGTCTCAGTTTATTTTGTACTTCATGAGTATCTTTTTTTTTTTTTTTTTTTTTTTTTTTTTTTTTTCCTCTCTTCATTCAAACGAAATTTTTGTTTTTTCAGTCCCCTTTTATTGTCATGTATTTGTTACGTACTTCGGTTACGCATGTAACAACCACTGGTCGAGTTATTTTATTATCTCTACAACAGTACGGAAAATCCCGTGAATTTCTTATCACACAACGAGTAATCTACGTAGTTACCTATCACTATCAGCAAAAAATACTTTGTCAATAAATTGATTTTGCAATATTATTGTTATGCGTATGATTTTTCTCAGTAATTTCTACGTTTGCGTAAAAAAAGCACCCAGTCAATGAAACGCTGGCTGATTATTATTTATTTATCGCTCCGCAACGAAATCATACCTCGATACATTCATTTCATCTACTAGAGCCGAGGAGATTCTTTCGCTCTTTTAATATTGCATTGACAAAAAGGAAAAAAATATAAATGTAAATACAGTTTGTACAAAAAATCGAGAGAAAAGTTATAATAATAGTACTCGTTATAAAATATTTTTCTATAAAGATAAAAATTAAAAGTTAATGATATTTACAAAACTTATAATGTTTCCTCCACGGAGAGAAAAATTAGTCACAGACTTTATCCGCGGCTAAGCAGCTGTGTAGGATTGAATCCCGTTGGCTGTGCCGATGTTTACAATAATGAGACAATAATAGTAATAAAAAATAGGATAAACTTTCGCACCTTGAAAGACCATTAGAAAAGTCATTTTTCTCTCAACAGGCCATATAATACGTTCTTGTAAAAAAACATTAACACCATTGCAATCTGGCTAAGGCGCAAAACAAGTTAGGAGAATGAAATTATCACCCATCGACGTCTATCGTATAATCATTAATATGCACTTACACGTGAATCATAGAATTATGCTAAAAAATTTTCATAGACAATTAGTAATTTTATATTTTTAAGGATACAAAAAAAAGTGAAGTATAGAAAAAAAAAAAAAAAAAAAAATTACAGCATACATAGTGGAATGTGTGCGTATGGACAGTCGATACTCGTCATGGGCAATAAGTGATTCTCCGCGTCCCTGAAAGTGCTCTGCTTTGTTCGTATCTATCACTTTTTCTTATTATTCTCTGCTATTTCTCACGCAAATACTACATCATATTTTATTAAAATACATATCATTTTGTTACATTTAAAGGCACAGTTGTTCATTGTATAATATTGTCTGCTCCGCATTTCATAAAATTTCATTTAAAAAAAAAAAAAAATGACATATTTATAATCTCAAATTATCAATCGTCTAAACACTTCTCCCCCTTTTTTTGTTCATGAGTCTTGGTATATTTTATATATAAATATATATA